CCGGGCAAAGACTTTCGACGGCGGAAAGATGAAAAACATCGCCGCTGAGCAAGAGGATAAAAGCGACTGGGAAACAACGTTCTTTGTCCGCTGCTTTGAAGGCAGGCTGGAAAACCGGGTCGACACCCTGAAGGCCCCAAGGAACAGCTCCCACCGCCCCTTCTTCCTGCCGGATGCGCATCAGGGGTGGGGGTGGGGCCCGATCCTGGCGCTCAAGGAGGTTGCTACCTAGCCAGTTCCCCCCCCCCCCCGGAACCTTCACCAGCCCAGCTCCTCCAGCGCCTCCGAGGAGGCAGAGTGCGAGTTCTGGGCAGGCTTACGTGGGGAGTGGCGGGCGGGGGCAGCGAGAGGCAGTGTTCAGGATATGCTGCCCCCCCGTGTTGAGAAGTTTAGGGGTCAAATCCAGCTGACCGTCAGCGCCCCACCGTCTTCCTAAGGCACACTGATCGCTCAGCACTGTCAGCGTAAGGGGTTCTTTAGTTATTTACTTATTTACACACACACACACACAGAGAGAGAGAGAGACAATGAGAGAGAGAGAGAGAGAGAGAGAGAGAGAGACCGACCATCCGGCAGAGGCGTCTCTGGGTGGTTTACAACGTATAAATACAATTAAATACAATTTAACATAAAAAATTGAACTAAGACACAAATAAGCAGTAAACTCAAAGCATAGAAATACATGAAAATAAAACTTTTTAAAACATTCAAAACATTTTAAGATGGCGGACTTTCTGGGCACAAGGCCTCTCCCAGGAGGCGCATTTTCTCTCCAAAGGCAGTCCAGTGCTTTGGAGCCAGAAGAGGCCAGAAGATGTCCACAGGGGAGACGGAAGCCAGGGTTTGCAGGATTGGCCCCTCCTCTCGGATTAACAGGGATGAAGACATACAGGAGTCTGAACCCCCTTTCCCCCTTCATGGGAGTGTAGGGATCCTCACAGTATTTATTTTATTTTATTTATTTATTTATTTTGTTTGGTTATTTATTTATTTGATTTATACCCCGCCTGTCTGGACTACCAGACTACTCTAGGCGGCTTCCAATACAAAATAAAACAATAAAATACAAGAATGTGCATAATCATTCAATAGCAATCACAATAAAATAAAGAAAAAATAAAATAGGGGAAAAATAAAAATAGCTGGGTTACGGACAGGAGCAGCAGACCGTTGCGTGCTATAAATAGTGCCTGTAGTCCAGCAAAGTGTTGGAGGGTGATGTGCGGTTGGGTGGGCAATGAAGAGCCACTGGCTTTGCAAAAGACCTTCTCCTGGCAGGATCAGCCACCGGTGGAATTCCTTTGCTAGTGTGAACCTGATCGGGCTGCCCGCACGTTTGGATCCTCCTCCGGGGGACTGTCGGGGTTTACCGGGACCACAGCGGCGCGCGCGTGTGTGTGTGTGCGCGCGCCCGCGCTCCACAGCTCTCGTACAGCCTCAGAGGAATGCTATGGGGCTCGGAAAAAAGACTCAAGCAACCCCACACACAGCCAGCCCCAGTGGAATGCCACAACCCCCCCTACTGTATTTCACTATTTAGAACCCAAGAAAAATCTACGTGGATCTCTACTACATAGTGAGTTTAATTTTCAATTAGTGATGTGTACCAATACAAAACTATATGAACGATAATTACTTATACAGTGGTGCCTCGACTTACGAATGTCCTGACTTAAGACCATTTCGAGTTATGACCAGCTCTGGCAGCAAAATTTTGCTTTGACTTGCGGCAGGAGCTTCCAGTTACGAACAGAAAAAGGCAAGGAAAAAAGGCGGGAAATTCAAATTGCTAACTGTTGGTAGGCGAAGAGGCTGCCTCTTTGTAGCTCTTTCACCCCAATGGTTAGAGTGAGTGCGATTAGAGGAAGCTTCGGACTGCCTGGTAAGGTAAGGTGATTTAGGCAGTATCAACACCAAAAGTTACGTAAAGAAGAAATGTAAAAATTCACCTGCAACTTAAGAGTGAAACAAAAGACATTTCCCTTCCTCAAGGTCTCTGACATTTTTTTGGGGGGGGGGCAACTTCTACTGTACTTTTACTTTCAGAATCAAAGCACATGTATACAGTAGGCACAGAAGGACTTGATAACTGTTAAGAGAGATAAAAAAA